CCCAGTAAGCGAGGAAAGGGCACGAAAACGTTGCTGGTGGCCATTTTTTTTCCAGCACCCATTTTGGAACCGCCGATCAGCTGTTTTTAAAACATTGTTATGCAATAATCTGTAAGCGAAATGCTTACTGATTATCGCAAAGTGATGTTTTGCCATATAAAACATCGCAATGCGATCCTTTTTGCGACTGCAAAAATGTGTCGCTATGTGGATTCGTCGTTAAACGGTGCGCTCGTTAAGCGAGGCACCACTGTAATAAATAAAGAAGAAAAAATCAAATATTAACTGGGGGGAAGGCCTGCATGAACATCCATGTTTTTAATTGGTTTTTAAAGATATCCAGTGAAGCGGCCGCATGAATCTCCGGAGGAAGATTGTTCCAGAGGCGTGCTTCCATTTGGAAGCATGCACAAAAATGTGTATGATTTTTGGTGTGGAAAGGAAAAGAAACCTCAAATAGCACATCTTAATATAAAGCAACAATCAGAAAAATACATTTGGGATTCAGAGAAGTGCAACAAAATTGAGAGCGGGTGATTTTTATCATCCTAGTTGGTAGTGCTACAATACTCTAGATTCACCACAGATACTCAAGTTGGTTTTAGTTGCAGTATCTGCTTACAGTACACCACTTATATAAAGACTCTTCAAATACCTGAAAGGATGTCATATAGAGAAAGGACAGGATCTGTTCTCAATCATCCCAGAATGCAGGACATAATAATGGGCTCAAGTTGCAGGAAGGTTGAATGTCAGGAAAAACACCCTACCTGTTACAGCAATACAAAAATGAAACCATTTACCACGGGAGGTGGGGATTTCTCCAGGGCTGGAGGCATTCAAGAGAAAGCTAGGCAGGCATTTGTCAGAAAGACTTTCACTTGGATTCCTGTATTGAGCAGAGGGTTGGACTGATGGCCTTTTGGGCCCCTTCCATCTCAATGATTTTATAATTCATACTTGGAACTTTTGTGGGGGAAAAAATAAGTACTTAGTGAGATATAGGTTTTTAGGTATGCAGCTAAACTGTTTCTAGAAGCTATCCTGTCAGATTGTGGGAGAATTCATTGATATGCACTTTGCCTTTCTATTTTCTTATGAACTTTATTATGAATATACACTGTTGTGTTTTTTTTAAAGGGCTAACTATGTCCGTGTGCTACCCCACATCTGAAGAAACAAATGGATCCCAGAGGATGAGCCAGGCAAGCATTCCTCCTATCTTGGAATCAGACAGAAAAACCCTAAAAAAGAAGAAAATGAACCAGATTTTCAAAACAATTGTGAGTAAAAGGGTTTCAGTTCAGAGAGGACTATGGGGCTTGATTTGATAGTGGTGCCTCAGCAACTTATGCATGCAGTTAGTTGCTCGTGGGTGCAGATGGCTATTGCATGTCTCCTCATGCAAATCAGATGTTGTTGCCTGGTGCAATGAAAATATGAAAACGGACAGAGGAGACCTGGCCTTGGAAACCTTGCTGAGGAAGCGTATCTTTGCACTGCCCCTTTGATATGTCCCAGTTTTGTCCACACAACATGTTTCCAGCACAGCCACCTGTATATTAAAGTAACACACAAAGTCTTGTTTGGCCTTTGTTCGTTGTCTCGGATTGTACTACAGGACAACTCCCAAGGAAGTTATGCAGCGTAGTTTTATCTTAGCTGCAGCTTAGCTTTATCTTGGCAATTTCATGTGAGATGGGCAACAGCAACTGTGTGTTAACAGTGCTACCTGGGCATTTTTATATAGTCAGATTATGGTGAACATTAGGACACAATATTCCATTGTAGTGTACTGCCCTTCATTTAACCTAGAGGTATTTTAACCCAAATCATTTGGCTAATTAAGTTGGAAGGATGCACAAGTCGTAATTCTCTGTGTTGACCTGAGGAATGAGGTCTGAGCCCCAGAGGAATGAAGCTGTCTTTTTGTAGGCATATTGGGAAGATATGAGGATTACTACATTTCCTATGAAGCATCAGGCACCCCTCCCCATCTCTTTTAGTGGAAATGCAGCTTGGTTTCGGAAGGGCAAATACGTACACACTGTTTAGGTTGTACTGGCTTACAGCATGCGTCTCTTTTGAACATGTCAAAATCAGAACGTTCAAACTGTTTAGGTTGTACTGGCTTACAGCATGCATCTCTTTTGAACATGTCACAATCAGAACGTTCAAAATCTACAATGTTTCCCCCATAATAAGACCTAACCTGAAAATAAGCCCTAGTATGATTTTTCAGGATGCTCGTAATATAAGCCCTACCCCAAAAATAAGCCCTAGTTAAGTGAAACCCCGCCCTCCACCATTGTGCAGCAACCAGAAGAAGATGACGTGATTGTAAAATAAAACATCCCCTGAAAATTAGCCCTAATGCGTTTTTTGGAACAAAAATTAATATAAGAACCTGTCTTATTTTCAGGGACACACAGTACATCATGTCAATCCCACCCACACTTTGGAATTATTCCAATACTCCCCACTCCAGTCTAGAGATTTCTCATGATTTATATATACTTTTACTGTAAAACTGCAGTCCTGTATAAACTTACCTTGGCTTTGAGCCATACTGAAAGCAATTGGATTTTTTTCTTGGTAGATATACATAGGATTGCACTTCTAAAAGGCCACAGTAGAGGTTTGCTTGAGAAGTAGCATGCAGCGGTGTCTGTCATTTTGCAATAAGCACAGAGTAGTTATACTACTTGGAAAACAGCTTGTGGGGAAGGAAAGATGCTCTCTTCAGGATCACAGGGACATCCTGATGCAGATGTTTAACAGAAGGTTCCAGCTGTGCATGAGTGAGGGAAAGGGGGTCATTCTAGTCATGCTGCAAGGGACAAAATCAGCCTCTGGTTTGGCACTTAGCCTCTAGTGAATGCATAAAAGATTGTAGCCATAAATTTATTATCAAGTTGTATAAAAACTGAACAGCTTGAAGGAATGGAGAGAGTTTATCCCCACCTGTTTCATGACTTCTTTCCTTAATAAGCAAAAACCTTGTATGACCTCATGAGAAGTCTTGGCAAGAACTAAATTTTCTTGTACTAGGAGCAAACAGCCTTAGTAATTATAATCTTTCGCATTGATTTGCTGCCTTCTGCCACACGTTTTACTGCATTTATAGCTCCTCAAAAATATCAGGTTTGCCACTATAAAAATATAGAGTGGACAATATGAATCCATTAGGTGGGTGGTCAAAGACAAGATAATGCTTTTAAAATATTCTTTGGAAGTCATCATATTAAATATAGAAATTGATGCACAACAGCTATGATGTCCTTATGTTGTTGTTTAGTCGTGTCTGACTCTTCATGTTCCCATGGACCAGAGCACCAGATGTCCTTATAGGCCCCTTCCAACTCAATTATTCTATGATTCCATGAAAAAATAGCACCATAGCTCAGGATGTTCTTAGCTGTAGCTACTTCCAGGTTACACTTCATGTACTGAAGAGTTCTGATCCGTGATGAGAAATACAGTCAAATGTCTCTTACTCTAAACCCAATGTTTGTTTCTTCCCTTGTGTGGGTGGGTGTGCTCGATGTACCCATCCCCCCTTGGATCGAATTCAATTCTGGGAAGAAGTGATTTGTGAGCCTTGACCTAGTCCTTTTTAAAGTTAGCCACATCTTCCTTTTTTCTGATGTATTAAAAAGAGAAGTGGAAGATGCTGTGGGATCCCACCAATCTGTATTGACTGAGCTCTTAAAATAACCTGGAAATGCTTTATATTTTGTATGTAAATGTGGGATTTCAGTTAAAGGGCAAAAAAAATGAGAGTAGGAGGTTGCATAATTCAAAGCGCCTCTAAAATGGCTCTTGCCCCATCCATTTCAACTCCCCAGACAAACAGAAATTTAAGCCAGACAAAAGCATTTGAAGATAAGAAGCTGATGAGTTCAGGATCAATGCCCGGATTTAATGTACAGTTTTTCGTCACAGCAAGATCAATGGGGAAAGGAACCTGCTGACATCCTCTCTCTTTTTTTTTAACCATGTTATACAGTACAAGCCCAAGCAGCATGAAGATGTGAAACATACTGGTGAGCGACAGTTTGATGTATCAGACCTGTGAATAAATCATTCAGAAGAGGAGTGTTTTCCCAGCAAGTGGACAAACAAGGTTCTAAAACAGAGATGAGGACTGGCATGTGGGAAGTTGGAAAGTACACAAACCCAATTGGTTACTCCTTTCTCTCTCTCTTTTTAAATCAAAGTATTATTTGCTATTAGGTTACTAATTTTTTTAAATCAAATAATAGTAACAAAATAGCAAAGAATGAAAATATTTGCTATGTTACTAAATCTGCTGTCTAGAATATTGTATCGGACTATAGATGAAAGAATGCTTGTTAATCTGTGGGGTGTTTACCAGCTACGCCTTCTGGGAATCCTGGGCATAAAGCAGGTCACTGGAGTAAACGTACTCCTGCTACAATGCGTGGAACATGATATGACATGGATGTCATACACTTAGCCTGATTTCCACAGTCGTCCCTCTATATTATATGTCAGGTGGCAGATCTGTGCTTCTATCTATATTCTGTTGCAGTGGTGGTATCCCCAGTAAGGCTAATATTGTAAACTTGGTTTTTTAGTGAATGACCTTGAACTCGTAAATTCTTAATAAAAATTAAGGATTGGCTGAAATATTTGTTTTTTTAATTAATGCACAAGTTCACTCATTTCCATGACAGCAGTCAAGAGACCAGGTTGCCTCACTGTATATTTGCATTTTTCTCCAATGCTAGTTCTTATATTTGAAAATATTTTTTCGATGTTTCAGTATGAATATATCTTGTGCTGTCTTGGGCACAAGATATAATGATTTGTATTTTATATGGAAATAGGGAACATTATATGGAAATGGGGGACATTTCATCCTGTCCTTTTTCTTTTGGTAGTAATATACAATATACTTCCTGTGATTTAGTAACCAAATATTAAATGTTTTGTCCCGTTTGCTGTGAATCATGCTTCCAAGAATTTCTCTAAATCTCTCAGTATGCAACACAGTAGCTTCTCTTACAGACAGCAGATATAACTTATGATACGATGCTGATGTGATTGACTTCCTTACCTTTTTGACATCCAGAAGACATTTGCTCACTCCTTTAGTTCATATGTTGCTTTCCCCTCCAAAGGAGACCCTGAGTTGACTAACATCATATGACACCAACAACAGTAATTTCAGAAGGAGGCAGTGTGAATAATTAGGGAGAAGAAATACAATAAACTTCTCATTTTCCCATTCACTATTTAAGAAAACACCAATTAAGTTTTGAAAGATGTAAAAACAAATGAACATCTGTAACAATGTCTAAGTGTTTTACAATCTCTCCATTAGAAAAACTTTGAAAACTAATCAATAAATTACAAGAGGATAATAAAGTCTGTTTTCAAGCAATAATGTAAATAAATACATTTCCTGTTCCCACTCCAGGGTCCAATATTATAAGAGCCTTGGGGTACACTTTGTGTTTGCTTGAATCACAAAGTAAGGGTGTGACTACACAGCAAAGGAAATGCACACTCACTCCTGTGAAGTCACACCAGGAATTTAGATTACAGGTAGTTTGGTTTAAGTGGCCACACTTGAATTGAACTGCTTGCAGTTATACCTGCTGCCCTGCAGGTGGAGCTACTCAAACAGGAAATGAGAGGTGTTTCCCCCCAATTGTCAGCTTCTGATATGGGGCTTTACACATGCTAAGATGTTAAAAAAAAGGTAAAAGAACAGAATTGTTGCCCAGGAGAATGAACTAGAAAGAAAGGCCCTGCTTTGCTGGGCAGGGGTTGTTGGTGCTGCCCTCTGTGTGTTTGTACTCATACCTTAATAAGATAAAAAGTGAGAGGGGAGGTAGGACAGTACTTTGGGTGTGTGCATGTTGATCCCTTGTCCTCCCTTTCTGCATTGATTCAAGCAATTAGTGCTTGAATTGATTCAAAAATATTTGAGAATTTAAAAAGTAGATGATTCTTGTTGGAAAGGAAAAGCTATGAATTGGGGAAGGGGGGACCCATTGCGTGATGAATTGACAGGTGAAATATGCAAATGAATCTATCACAAACCTCTAGTATTTTCCACAGTTGAGGCAGGTGGTGCATCACAACCTCTCCCAATTTGAGGAGACCCTTGTCCAGCAGGCTGAGGTGAAGAGGCAGTCCCGAAAGCAGCAAAATCAGGGAGCTGGACAGGGAACAGATTGTACTTGTCTTCAGTGTGGAAGGAATTGTCCCTCTCGAATTGGCCTCCTCAGCCACACTAGACTCTGTGCCAAGCCTTCCATACAGAGCACGTTACCATAGTCTCTCGAGACTGAAGGATGCCTAACCTAATCTGGTAATGTGATTGCCCCTGAAATCAAGCTGATTTGGAAATTCAGAAAATGTCCAGATCAAAGTGGAGCTTCTCTAAATCAGCCTGAATCTGAACCAGAGCTTTGCTTGGCTGCAGTGGGTGTACAGAGGCCCAGAGAACAAGTCTCCAAAACTGGTACCTCTCTCTGAGTTGTCCGACTAAGGAAAGAGCCAGGCTAGAGAGTGGGATGGGTACAGTTTAATTTCTTCTAATTACAATGAATGGTCTTTCCAGGACTCTTTTATTCCAGTGCTTTTGAGCATGGAGACAGGAAGAAAATTAACATATTGCAGGGTGGCTTTATTTGCTTTTCCTAGCTCCCTCAGGAGCAAGAATATTAAAAAGCATTTTGTTGGTGTATATGGGATCTGGACAGGTCCAGCACCATCTATTTACTTGGCAAATGCTAGATATTTCAAAGTGCTTTTGTTGCTACCACCGTACACTCCAATTTTGTCATCCACTCTGCCTTTTGCAGTTTCTCTGGTTTGGTGCCAGCTAGGTACCAGAAAACTTTGAAAAAACTTTGAAAACTAATCAATAAATTACAAGAGGATAATAAAGTCTGTTTTCAAGCAATAATGTAAATAAATACATTTCCTGTTCCCACTCCAGGGTCCAATATTATAAGAGCCTTGGGGTACACTTTGTGTTTGCTTGAATCACAAAGTAAGGGTGTGACTACACATTTTGGACATGGTGGCACTGCGGGCTAAACCGCAGAAGCCTTTGTGTACTGCAAGGTCAGAAGACTAGCAGTCATAAGATCGAATCCACGTGACGGAGTGAGCTCCTGTCGCTTTGTCCCAACTCCTTGCCAACCTAGCAGTTCGAAAGCATGTAAAGGCGAGTAGATAAATAGGTACCACCTCGGTGGGAAGGTAAACAGCGTTCCGGGTCTAAGTCGCGCTGGCCATGTGACAACGGAAACTTTCTTCGGACAAACGCTGGCTTTACGGCTTGAAAATGGGATGAACACCGCCCCCTAGAGTCGGACACGACTGACTAAAATGTCAAGGGGAACCTTTATCTTTAGGCAATAAAGATTGAATCTGTTTTTCATTCCTTACAATCTCCTAACCCCTGCTATCTATCCTTAAATTGTGCATTTGTTTGTGGACACTTGTGATACTTCTGCCATTTGTACACCACTAGTAAAGACTATGCAGCCATACCCTTAAATGAGACAAAGCTATGCAGGCAGACTACAGCATGGTTACAAGTAATGGACATGAGGGTTATGACTCCCTAGTCAATAACTCATACCCATGTTGGGGGCAAATTAAGTGGCCGCTTACTTAGCTTGATGATCCAAGCCATTCTGCTCAACTATCAGCAGAGTGTCTCTGGTACAAAAGAAAGAATTGGAGGATATAAATGACCTGGTTCCTGACCCAGTGGTGACACTGATACTGCTCATCCTTTTGGCAGCAGTTGTAACTTCGTAGCTCAGCCTGAATTGTGCCTGCCCCCTCCCAGTTAACTGTGTTTCTTCATTTACATGTTTGTTTCGGTGCCACAAGTCCACAGTGCAGTCTTTTTTTTTAAAAAAAAATCCTATTTTATAACTGTCCTCCTTTTTTCACAAGTCATAAAAATTATCCTTGAGCTTTCTCTGAACATTTACCATTTAATTTTTGTTGTTGTTCTTGTAGTTTTGGCTGCTGTGTGCAACTGCACTGATTTAATGAACTATTAGGGATGGAACTTACCTTCAAAAGAAAAGGGGAAAAAACATTAAAGAGGCTAAAGTCAGCCTCTTTCGTTTAAAAGATGTCTCTGGTGAAAGCATTCCTTCCAGAGAACCTAGCACTTCTTCAGTGAAGTATTCATTTTCCCAGATTACTGCCAGCATGACAAGTTCCTAAGCATTACAGAAAATAAATGTAATACTTGAAAATACAAGATTTTTTGTCCTGACAGGGGTAAATTTAAGCAGAAGGCCAGAATAACATGACTGGCTCATCATTCCTTAAACATCTTTTTTGTTTCAACATCTTTTTTTTAGAATCTTGTATAACTATTCTTATTCCCATATATACAGGTGTATATAAAAGCCAAAAGGAGAAACAAAATAAAATAATGGAGGATACAGAGACTGATTCTTTCACACCAGAAGAGTGGAATTGCTACTTTCATTTCAGTTGACACCAGTTGTTCTTGATGGTGGTGCTTCTGTTTATATACCACCTGTTAACTTGCCACAGATCTCTAGTCTTAAGGTGTCTCTGGCATTACAGACATCAATCTGATCCGTTGCTGATCAGCAGTAACAGAAAAGGGGTCTACCATCCCCTTTTTGAAACATGATTATTCCCCTCTACATGTGAATTATGCTCCCTTGCTTACAGTTTGGAGCAGAACAATCAGATGCCAGAACACAAAGTTCTCACAGACTGCATGATTCATCCTAACACTACGATGTGCAGAATTAATGTATTAATTCCCCTTCCCCCAATCATCAATACTGACAAGAATTATTCTTTGCTTTAAAAAACATTTGCTTTTTAATATATGCTAGTGTCTATAAACAACCACATCACTTTATGTAGCTGTTAAAACATTCCAAAAGAAAGAAGAGGTGTCAAGTTGAAGGCGCTTAATGCCAGTGCTTGCTGAAATGGGAATATGCCCTTGTATAATAATAATAATAATAATAATAATAATAATAATAATAATAATAATAATAATAATAATAATAATAATAATAATAGCATATTCTGGACCCTGATTAGAAATAGCATCACATATGAAATTAAACTAAATACACCTTAGTATTTTCAATAATTTTCTATGGAAAAAACAACACCTAAAATAATATTCTTTTACAGCTATAATATACTCCATTTGGTATTTTAGAATCCCACATAAACATTCCATACAGCTGGTAAGCTGAATCAGCTGAGATTTCACTTGACTTTTCTACTCTGTGTTGTTAATCATTCATTTACAACGCAATCTGCAGATTACTTCTGCTGACTTAATGAAGAACTACCTTGTCTTGCCCCTGCTGAATTTCCAAAGAGCATGTTCCAAAAGCCACCTGTATAAATTTCCTATTTCTCATTTTGACACGTTTGTACACAGGGCAAGGTGAGCCATCTAAAAAACACATAAATACATTTGGTTGCAATTACAAACAGAGAAAAACATCTTCATGTGCGGTCAGACAGCTGGCCTGTGCTACTCAATATTGCCTACAAGACTGGGAGAGGTTCTTCAGGGGTTCAGACAGGGGTATCTGAATCATATCTTGGAGATGTGAGAGTTAGTCTAGGGTCAAAGGACGTGCTCTACCACTGAGTGCATGTAGTGCACACATCTTGGAGATGTGAGAGTTAGTCTAGGGTCTACCACTGAGTGCATGTAGTGCACACGGATTTGGTGTGATTACATCAATATCCATTCAATGCAACATCTGGTTATCATGGGGAGAGAAGGTGACTTTAATGTAGATACAACAGAACCCACAGCACTCACAAAGGATGAACACAGAGCAGGTCCAGATGCATATGGGACAGAATAATTTGTTGAGGGAGAGGAAAATCTATATTTTCCTTTACTCTTGACTTAAGACATAATGGCTGAAATTCAGTATTAAGTCACAACTGGTGAAAGCTTATTTAATCATTGGAACTTAAGAGGACAATACCTACCAAATCCCCACCAATTTAATTAGTCTCTTGCAGTTTTTACATATTCTTGGATTCCAGCTGTTATGTTGCTTCTATTAATACTTCCCCAGTTCACACCACAGCCATAATAACTGCTCTTCCCATTAGTTAAGGTTCCATTGGAAATGATGAATTGTCATGAAAGTGGAGAAGATGGTTGTGCAGGACTAAGCTCTCTGGAAGTTGCAAGGCATTAAGGGTCTGGTAGCTTCCCTGCCTATAATGCTCTCTGCAGGATGCCTCTCAAGAAACTACTAGACTCCTCTAATACCTTGTAGCTTCCACAGAGCATCATCCCACCTCACCATTCATCAGGTTTGATGGAGCCTTTATCCCTCAGCTGTAAGCAATTCAAAACACCTGAGAGGACTTTGATTTTCTGTATGGGGCGGGGCAGCTAAAGCAGTGGTTCTTAACCTTTGTTACTCGGATGCTTTTGAACTGCAACTCCCAGAAACCCCAGTCAGCACAGCTGGTGGTGAAGGCTTCTGGGAGTTGCAGTCCAAATCTCCTGAGTAACCCAAGGTTAAGAACCAGTGAGCTAAAGCACCCAGAATTCTTGCTGGGAGCATTCCTGCAGACTTTTGAAGGCAGTAGTTCAGAAAAAATATACAAGGCCTATGCCTGTTCTTGTACTGCAACGAAGCACCACACCCTCTGCTGCTCCTTTGCCTTCCATCATTGCATTTGGTTTTCTACAGCTGGAGAGTTCTGTAGCACAAGGGGACTCTGCCTACTGAACTCCCTGTTTAAAAGATGTCATGGCACTGAACACACAAGCAGTATTCTGGCCACAAAAATAGAGGACTTTGGGAAAGTGAGGAAGACAAGAAGGGGGAAGATGAGGGCGGTGTGGATGGGTTTGCGCCCATTAGCCAGGGAGGAAAAAAATGAAGTGTGAAAAGAGCAGAGCCACTCTCAGTTAATCTCCACGGTGCCTGAATGCTGACACACACCGTCCAGAAAGTGAAGCCAAGTCACAGTTTCCAAGAAAAATAAATCAGAAGAGAGCAGGAATATGAAATTCCAATTTAAAAGGGAATTTACTGCAGCAGCAGGTCAGCTGGGGATACATCATAGGAATCAAAAGGATGGATAGCAAATTGAAGCAGAAGTAAATGAGTACTGTAGGTGCAGCTACAGCGTTGGAGGAGGAAGAGATTTCCGTAATAGCTGGAAACATCAATCTGTAACTGTATAATGCTTCGTTTACCCTTATGCAGTAACAAATCAAAGCGTTTTTCTCTCTCGCACTTTATATAGAAGTTTCTGTTCTGACATATGGAGTAGCCCCTCTTGTGATATGCAATGCAGGCTACACAGAGGTTCAGGTGCTGTGCAATACATGGAATACGATTATGAAGGGGGCAGCCCTCCTGATAGGATCCCCAAGAGGTGGCGAGGTGGCTAGGAGGCATCAGAGACAAAATACGCCCAAGTGACTGTAAAGTCTAAGATGTATCGCTGCGTAGAACAGTTGGTCTAGGCAATTTTCCTCACAAAATGTCATCCTAAATTGTGGGTCCATAACTTTAAATGGAAATTTCACCACTGAGCACTAAAGGATTAATGTATGGAAAATGCACAGTTACAGAGACTCGGCTGAGAGGACTTTGATTTTCTGTATGGGCTTTGAAGCTTTGTAAAATATTCAGTATCGCTCAACAAATATTTTTCATTTTATATCAAGTTCACACTTTCTATGCAGGGAGGAGTATTTTCTATACAGAGTAAGCAGAGAATTCTACAGTATAATGCAGCAAAAGTTAGAGTAAATTTGCAATAAAATACCACTGAAATTGGTGGAATTCCGTACTAATTAATATGTTCACAAGGATGTGGTACATCTAACTTTTCTTATTGTTGAATGGATCCTGTTGCCTAGTTGAGGGATTTTGTTGTTTTTATGTATCATCGAGTCATTGCCAATTCATACAACTTCTGATGGATTCTTGGGTTTACTTAATCTGGGTTTTAAATTATGCCTGTGGAGCCGTAAGGGATAACATTTATAAATCAAATATAAAATTCTTTTCATTAACAAACAAATATTAATATTGCTTCATTGCTTTACTGTGTTCTGATAATTTCTTGAGGAATGTCCGTTAATTACATTTGCATCTAAAATAAGTGCATTGACTAGAGCAGTTAGGCCTTGCTCTGAAAGCAAATCAACATGGTGTCGGTCCTGGCTATCCCTCCATTTTCCTTTTGGAGCTCTTCCGTGTAGAGCCAAGACCAAAACTCTGCAAACATCCAATTCTGCGATCATACGAACTGCCATCTTCCTAGAGAGTTGCACCAGAGGAGCTGCAAAGAATTGAAATGTAGCTGCAGGTTCAAAGGTCTGCTTTGAACTTGCAGCCCGACACCATGGTCTCTGAAGATCAAGGAACTGTAAAAATCCTAGGTTTAAAAAAGAAAACAAAGCTGCCCCTGGCTTCAGATATATTCTACGAATGGAGACCTACAGTGAGCATGGGTTGGTTTGAGGGCATATGTGACACATATCCTCTTTGTCCACAGTGATGACACAAAGGAACAAAAGCTGCAAGCGCTTTCCCAGATCTTTCTAACAAGACACTCCTCATTTAATGGTGGCAGAACTACTATCATCTCCAGTCAGTGATATAACCCACAGAGCTTTCCCCATAAATTTCTCTACCAATTGGATTATTGCTTCCTTCCCCATCTTTTGTTATGAACAGAATTTCAAGTGGGCCACATCCATGTGGGCAGCTGATGGTCAATGGGACAAGAGCAAAAGGCATGGTGACTTTTTATCTCCTACTCTGTGGGGACATTGAAAGGCACAGAAAGAAGTACTAGGATGCAGTGGGGTGATGTTGCAGGCAGGGACCAGCTCTACTGGGTGAAGTTCCAGATTTCACCTTTTGTCTCAGGGAATGTAGGGGTTAGGTAGAAGATACAAATGGTTTATTTAGCCAACTCCTTCATTTGTCTGTCCAACAGCCTTGCCTACTACCTTCTGCTTGACCAACCTCATCCAGTCAAGGCCTCCAGGTTTATTGTATGAGACATTAGTGGCACTTGGGGGAGTATGCAGAATTTACTTCTGTAGAGCTGCAGACAATGAGCATTTAAATTAAGTTGGGCTCTAAGCAATTACAGACACAAAGTTAGTGCCTTAAGGTGGCACCACCTCAGGCGATAAGACTGTGGTTTGCTGAAAGGACATGCACAGACAAGATTCAAGCCAGCTACCAGGAAGTTCATTTTCCAGACATCACATTCAAAACCAGCTGTGAGCAGAATACACAAGCAATGACTTTATAAACATCACAGTACATTCTGCCTGAGGGGAAGAGTAGACCCAGAAACATGATGATGTATGAGGCCTCAGGGAAAAGATGTGCTGGGGAAATCTCAACAATGCTGCACCTACCAATTCGGTATTATTACTCCAAACTTTCATCCCCTGTGCAGCTGATTTCAACAGCCTTTCTCCTCTTTCAGCAAAGAAGCCCCATAGCCTTTGTTTTAGACTGGAGTGGAATCCCTCTAAGTTGGCTGAATTGTCTTAAAAACCTTTAGACTCTCCAACACTGAAAGGGAAATGTGCTCAGCATTTGCACTATAATTCTTAGCAAGGTTTGATTAATAGTAATAATAATAATAATGTGCAATCAAGTCAGTTCTGACTTATGGTGAACTCTGAGTTTTCTAAGTATAACGTACTCAGAAACAGTTTACCATCCCCTTCATCTGGGGTGCTCAAGGACTGTGCAGCTTCACAAGGCTGGCTCTTCTCCCACAAGGCACAGTGGGGAATAGAACTCTGAATCTCTGGCTCTCAACCCAGATACCAGCTCACTGGACTATTTAGCCCACTAAAGATTGATCAGTCCTGGTAAAAAAAAAAACAAACAAAAAAAAACCGACAAGCAAATAAATTAAAAGGAAAATATTTCCTTACCTTTGCAGGACACAGTCTGCATGATTTGGAAGCTATATATGTGGTAAAAAGCGCAGGCAATCATTAAACAATAAACCTTTCATGTCAAATAATTTACTTATACTATTTTAAAAACATGCATACATATTTCCATTTATGAATTCGAGCTTATAACTAGTTTCAGACTTTTTATACTCTGTGCTTTCGTATTTGTTTAGAACTTTGTTTAATTTGCTGCCACTGCTTTTATATCCAACCCTATCAATAGAAGTATGTTTACTTCCTTTTAGGATAACGAAGATAGTGTTCACACATTACATTTTCACAAGTTTGGGGGCATGAGTAAATACAATTCCTTCTCGTTCTCTATTTATTTCAGATCCAGTCTTAACAACTAGAAGAGTTTCTGCACATTATCTGGCTTGATTATATATTTTTTTATCTTCACAGTGCACCAATTAACATCAGCATTCATTGAGCAATCCTATAGTTTGGGGGGTCATCTAAGGTTGTTTTCACAACTATAACTTAAACAGCTTCTAGCAGTTTCTACATTTGTATTTTGGCTGTAAGACGCAGATTGGATAGAAAGGGGTTCTTCCTCTGTTTATATTGGCCTTGATCCTTTTGCAGTTCCATGTGCACAAGTCTGATGATGTCATTAGCTGCAGCCTTTTATCTTTTAGTTAAACAACAACAAAGCCATCAAATCAATTCTGACTTCTTGCAACTGTTTGCAGGCTTTCTGGGTAGGGAATACATGGAACCGGCCTGCTATTCCCTTCTTCTAGGCGCAATCCAGGACTGTGCAGCTTGCTCAAAGCTACACAGGCTGGCCTTTCTCCCAGAAGGTACAGCAGAGAATCAAACTCCCAACCTATGGCTCCACAGCCATAAACCTAAGCTCCTGAGCTATCCAGCCAGCTTTATTTTTAGTGAAAAGTTTCCTATATCTCCCCACCAGGTTTCTAGAAATTCCCTTGGACCTATGGGCCTTGGGATGGGGGGAGCCTTTAAATCTGGAAAATCACTGCCACAGGATGTCATCAGCCACAAGCATACAGAACTGTGCCAACAGATTTCCAGCAGTTGTGTCTTAACAGCATTGGTATGGGTTTCGTCCCAGATTAAAGGATGTTCTAATCACTGCTTGTGGAAATAGCATGCATAACATATTGCTGGTTTAGAAATAGGCATTGGTGCATTTTCTTAAATCTTTGCATGGTTTGTGGGAAACTTCCCACAATAGAAAACAACAACATGAAAACAAGCATTCACCCCTGCGACTAAATAAATTACCTGCGTGACAGCAGCCTGATTGTGCACTGTATTTTTAAGTGCACTTCCAACAGCACTCACAAGAGGGAGCTATTAACCTACAATATCCAAAATGAAATTTACTCAGTAAAAACACCTGGAAGCTCCAGATCTCTTGATGAAAAAGAATTGAGGACCTATTGTTACTGCCTTTCACTTGTGCTTTAAAAACTTCACTCTGAGACTTAAATTCCAATGTATTTAAAGTGCAAAACTGCAATGTTTTAATTACATGTTATCTTCAGAGTGAGGGAGAGATTTGGGCTGCAGTTTTATTCCCCTGGGAGCCAGATGCCCGAAACGCTGGTTCATTTAACCCAGTGGAAATAGCAGGTATAAAGGGCAGGTTTGAGGAACTGGATTGTTCTGTGGTGTGGGTGGGTGTGCGTGTGTGTGTGTGCGCGTGTGTGTGCGTGCACATGCACATATGCTTGTAGTCTCCCAGCACACCTCCAGGACCTGCCATCAGCCAGCCTGTTCCCCCTTTCCCCCAGGCAAAAAGAGGCTTGGAAACATGACAGTGGCTGAGATCCTCTTACTTAGCACAGTAAATCACCAGTAAGCCCAGCCCATTTGAACCAATGAGATTTATGGAGGATTTGACCCACTCAATCCCTGTGGTTCAACGGACTTGCTCTAAGCCAGTGGTTCTTAACCTTGGGTTGCTCAGGTGTTTTTGGACTGCAACTCCCAGAAGCCTTCACCATCAGCTCTGCTGGCTGGGGTTTCTGGGAGTTGCAGTTCAGAAACACCTGAGTAACAAAGGTTAAGAACCACTGATCTAAGTCAAGCAACAGGATTTCAGCCCAATCTCTTTTCTGTACAGGAAGAAACGGTCTCATCCGGTCCTTGGTCGGAAGGGCACCTCTAGCTGCTACCTGCATGCTCAGCCATTTCGCTCTACCCTTCCTGCGAGAGCTGGGCAAAACTGGTCACACTCTTGATGGGTGCTTGGATGGAGCTGCCGTTCCAGGTACTGGCCAGCTTCAGTTCAGGGAGGAGCTCCTTGAGGCGCCAGCTGGGTCCTGAGCTGGCTTTGCTCCCACTCCCTCCTTCATAAAGAGGGAAGTGCTTCTCTGCCCTCTCCCCCCTCCCCTTCCTGGCACCTCCATAGGAATGCTAGAGGGAAACAAAACTGATTGAGCTGGTCTCCTCATTTCTCTTCTGGATGAGGCTCACTGGAGGCCTCAAGAAGGGTTCTCCGTTCTTCATAGACATCACGGACATCAGAGGAACCAAATCTTGACTGCGCAGAAAAAGTTTGGAGCACTCTGGCAAGGAAGGAAAGAGGCATTTTTTTGCACAAATAGTAGTGTTTGGCTCGACATTTTTCGTCTGCATTGTCTACATGCATTCTGACAGGATGTTCGCATTCTGAAACGGATTGCTCTTAATGTTGCTTGAAACTCAGGCCAAGAGAGAAATGAATAAATGGGAAATGACCTGTAATATGGAGTTCGAAGGCATTGCATTGGGGAGTGAGGAGGAGGGGGAGGAGAAGCAGTGATTTGGGACACGGCATTGCATTGATTTATCAAATGGAAGCAAGGAAGTTGAAAGCAGTATATTCTGTCATCAAAGAATGTCACTGTGCTGAAGCCACAAATGACATGCATAATTCAACAGAATAAGTGTGTGCTTTTTTTCCTAGGTTACATATTTTGAGATACATTGCATGCAAGTTTGAACTGTCGATCTTGGCAGGCTTAGACAAAGAACACTGCCAGTTGCATGGACTGCACAGTATGATATTTTCCCCTGCTAAAGTTTAAATAAATGTTTATGTGGGAATCTTAATACACACTGGGCCGACCTGACAAGATTCAGCACTCCCCCTCCCCAATCTCCTTGCTAGTCATGTAATGGATGGATTTGCCTGTAGAGTTTTAGAACTAAAGAAGGAAGTACAACGTATTTTTCTTCCAGGTTTCTCCTTTCCTTCATGCACAGCCATAGGTCGCAATGGTCAGACAAAATATTGTACAAAGTAGATAATAAGAATAACCTTTGAACTCCAGAGCTGGAAGGGACCCTGTGGATCATCAAGTCTAGCCCCTCCCAAGAGGCACAGTGGGGAACTGAACCCCCAACCTCTGGCTCGAGACCTAAGCCACTGAGCTATCCAGTCCGGCTCTGCTTAGCTATGTGGAGCCTTACAAGGGGGTTGGGTTTCTTTGTCACCATGCACAGCCTTCATTCTTTCCTTTCTCTTCTGTATCCCTGGCCCTCTTCATCAAGTCTCAGTGTGGAAAACCAGCCATCTCAGTGTATTTTCAGTGTAAATAAGAGCACACTGCCCCCAGGGAGTAAGCAATTTAGAAACTAACTATCATCAAAGTCTGCATGTGCCTGAACTTTCACTTACATGAAAAGGGACCTTTTTTAAAAAGCTTTCATCTCTCTGCATCACCAGTGTACAATTCATGAATTCATTGCTTTCTCCTGACATTTCAGTGCTACGTTCTCGTCTGGGAAAAGTTCCTTCCTTCCTTCCTTTTTGTCTTAGTTAGTTCCCCTCTTCTAAGCTAAACAGAGCAATTGACTTGTGAATTGGATTCTCCTGGACAGTTTTTATGCAAATGCAGAGCCCAGAAAGAATGGATGTTCCCCCCTTATCCTTAACAGTGAATGCAAATGTATTAAGTGACCAAGTGAACTACATTCCTATCCAGTGTTTTACAGAGGACGGAAGAGTCCTGAACAACTAGAGGCTGATCTCCTTGGATCTGGCCACTGTAGATCAGAGGTGACAAAGTGCGTGACCGAATGCTTCTTCCACCAAAATTCTCTGTATATAGAAAAAACAGCCTTCCACTGAACTCAAAGGTAAGTTATCTCCCTCGTAGCCTGGCTTTGCAAACAAGGAATGTTTTATATAATCTCCATCTACAGCCTTGGCATGGGGAATTCTGTCTGTTACTTGCACCCTCCCTGAAATGTTCCACATCAGAATGACCATTAGGGAGCCACAAAGACTTCATCTTTGTTCTGATAAGAATTTGCCCTCCAAACCCTCTGTTTCTACATATTTGGCAATGGCAGCTGAAACAGCAGCAATAATTCATAGAATAATAAATATTTATTTATTTATTTAAAATATGTTTACACCCTTTTCCTTAAAAAGAACCCAAAGTGGCTTACATAATTAAAAGACAATATTTAAAGCTAAAAACAACGAATATAAAAAACCTAACTAGAATCTGGCAAATATCACTCTGCTAAGGAGAAACATAGAAGAAAAAGCAACACCAAAAACACATTTAAGCAGTAAGGCACAACAATCCATTAAAAAACCCCACTCAGGCAGCCATTCTCTGTGGGAAAACGTGCCTGAAAAGAAAGGTCTTTGCCTGCTTGCTCTGTTACTAATAGAATAAGAGAGTTGAAAGGGGCCTATAAGGCCATCAAATCCAACCCATCGCTGGTGGTGACCAAGTGAACTGGAGAGAGGTAGATGAGAGCAGTGAAAAAGTAAAGGGTAGATGGGCTTTGAAGGCAGTAAGAGGAGGTGCCAGCAGCCAAGCTATCCTGCAAAGAGGACTGGCAATTTGCCACTCTTACCATCCTGCCACCTGAGGCAACTTTGGCCAGCCAAGATATTCAGAGTAAGAAGAATATTTGAGAAGATCTTTTAAGTATGGGTGAAATCGGCACTTTCAGATTTGTCTGTCTAGGACTTTGAGAGTAAAGTCTGGGTTTAGAAGATCTCTATGTACTGTATATATTCACATTGGCAGCCCCCTCCCTGACTGGTTCATTTCTAACACAAAAGCAGGTAAAACACTGCCCTCTCCATGTAGGGAACAGCTGTACCTATTCTATTTGGCAAGGGCAAATGTGGGAGAATTTAATTCAAATTTATTTTAAAGCAATTTGCAATCTGCAAATTGGAACATATTTGTATTTTTAAAAAATTCAGTGTGGGACAGATCGTCTCTAGAATGCATTTGGAGGTTATTTGTTTGACACTAGAGATGGGGGTATTCGTATACGAATGTCTCCACACAGGTTGTGTTAACGAGGGTCCAGCCCCATGGGGCCGGACGTCCACTCACTGATCTTCCACCCATCTTCCACAGATGCAGATGGCGAGATTCTATGAATGGCTCCACAGTGTGTGATCCACTCACCACTCCTGGCAGGAGGCAGGAAGACAAGCCTGGCTGCAGGTTGAAGAGTGGCGAGTCACAGAGCCATTCGTAGAAACACACCGTCCGTGGCGAGATGGCGAGATTCTATGAATGGCTCCACAATGTGTGATCCATTCGCCACTCTTGGCAGGAGGTGAGAGGACAAGCCTGGGTGCAGGTTGAAGAGTGGTGAGTCACAGAGCCATTGCATGTCACAGAGCCATTCGTAGAAACACGCAGTCCGTGGCAGATCTGTGAGTGCACCATCTGGCCCATGGGGCTGGACTCTCATTAACGCCACCTGTGTGGGGATATTCATATTCATATATGAATACCGCCATCTCTAGTTGACTCCTTCCCAATGTATAAATGTAACTTGTCTAACTTGGCTCTGAGCACAGCTGAAGGCTATTTTAATATATATGTCAAGTTTGGTGTGGGGTACATTCACCCATGTAATTTGTCATTTCTGATCTGAAATGATCCAGTCCAGGTAGATCAGCTGTCAGCACTCCAGAGTCATAAGTTTAGGTAACCACTGGGAACCACTCACTCTGGAGAGACAAAAAAATTGGTAAGATTTTAAATTGTACTCATGCAATTACCAATGCTCAGCTGTAACCTGAATGTAACAAAGAAAAGTTTCCCAAAAATCTGGTCATGTGACTTGTTACATGATGCTTAATGAGCTGATCTTTGGTTTCATACAGGCCTCAATAACTTATTTTGAAATTATATCCTCGTTACAAGGAAGTTGAAGCATCACTACTTTGGAGGGGCAGAAGGCTTTATGAAACAAAAATAAACTCGACAGTTTTTCTTTTCCAAGGAACCAGTAGATGAGAGGTTGGGAACTTCTGGATACCCTCACCCCATTATTGCAAGACTCCCATATCTAACAGAAGCAGCCGCCATAGGGTGATTACAGTAAATGAAAACAAAGGTAGAGTTTGTGCAGCTTTAATGGTTGCTTAAAAGAGGACATTTTAGCAAGCGTGGCTTTTAATACAATTTCTTCCTCCATGCAACTATTAAAGGCACAGGAAACCTGTCCTCATTTTCAGCTGGTCACTCAAAGTCAGATTTACCATTGGATAAGTATAATGGAAGTTGTAGACCAGCTGATAGGAAGGACTGCACATTGCCCAGTCCTACAACAGACAAAATAATGGGGAAAATCTCCTGCTGAATTTCTGTCTGCACAAAATAAATTAGCAAATGTGAAGCAACTCCTACATTCTGAAAATATTCACCAGTAGAAATATTAATTAAGAAGCTTTCGTTACCTTCTGCACCTAGGAAGAAAGCAGGTCGCTGTCAAAATAATTCTGACCTCTAAGTGAATACTTAAAAATAAATACAAACACTAGCTATATGTGGACATGATTTTTGTATACTTTGCACACTACTTTTTACTTACAATATATAAGGTCTATATAGTGTGCCACCTTCTTGACTTATGACAGACACGTACCTTCAGCAGCTCCATGGCAAGCAGAAATTCAATCAGTTCTGTTTTCCTCAACATTGAAACTCCTTGTTTCTTACAGGGAAAATTGCTTAACCGTAAGAAGGAACCATCAGAGTGTCTTGCTTTACTGGAAACAAAACAGAACCATTAAAAAACCACGTGAAGAGATTTGGTTGGGGATTCTGTCCTATAATTTGATTCAATCTCTGATACAAACATAAAAATATCTATCCTATGAGTGTCTCCTCTACTTAGCAACATCAAACTTGGATGAAAAACAGCAGTTGACAGGAGTGATATACAGTAATGCATACTTACCTGGAAATAAGCTCCATTAATGCAGTGAAACTTACTTGTGAGTAAATATGCATTGCATTGCTAGTAACAAACTGCTCCTAAACCTTACTCAAAGTCATTACTTCCACTAAACTGCTTCTCCACGCAATTGCTCACTTATTCCAGTGAGCAATTTAATTTAATCCTTTAAAATATTCATACAGTATTCCTAACAGGCAATAAGAATACTCCTAAACTGCTAACTTTCTTTGTATTCTGGAGTTTGAAATAATAGAAATTACTGTGAATAATATGTTATTGAAAACTAAACTTACCATCTGAAAGTAAAATTAACAACTACCTCTTTAGGTTTCTCTGAATACAAGGAAAAGGTTCTTTCTTACTGCATCAACCTTTAAGTGTAAGTGGTTTGCAACTTTCTTGTTGTCAATCACGCCGATGGAAAATTCCTCCATTCATTTAAAAAGATAAACAGTTGTAATTTTCACATTTGGTTAATGTGACATCTATTACTGGCTTGGGTTGTCAGCATTCCAAAAAAGGGATATCACTCCCTGATCTCCAGCCTATCAGGATGCACTAGGCTGAGCCTTGGAAAGTAAACCTAAACATTTACAGGTGTATAAGTACTAGAGTGAGCTAGCCCAGGTGATGCACCTGTCTCAGGGAAAGGAGTAACACAGGTGTGCTGTAACTTGGTCAACTGCCAGAGCTAGATTATGAGCTCATTTGATCCACAGATACACTCACCACCACGCTGCAGCCCACAATTTCCAAACATCGGCCAGGAACCTCCTGAAATGAACATCTACTATGAAAATTTCTTTCATCCTCAGAACGTTCCCAGCCCACAAAGGCCTACAAGCTTTGAGACGGGAGAGTACAATGCCACACCAAACCCTTACTTATGGTTGAATGGACCTTCCATTAATGCTCCACCTTACCTCCCGGGATCCAATGGAGCTCCATACATCCCACCATCATATGGAATGCAAAGGCAGCTCTTGCCAAACATGCACGGCTTGACCGGGAATGAAATGGGCTGGCTCCCTATGCCTTCTCAAGAGGAGCTGATGAAGCTGGTCAGGCCGCCTTATTCCTATTCTGCCCTCATTGCCATGGCCATCCATGGAGCACCAGACAAGAGGCTGACGCTCAGTCAAATCTACCAGTATGTTGCTGACAACTTTCCCTTCTACAACAAAAGCAAAGCTGGCTGGCAGAACTCCATACGTCACAATTTGTCTCTCAACGATTGCTTCAAGAAGGTGCCTCGTGATGAAGATGACCCAGGTAAGAAGCCTTCTTAAACTATCTTGTAGAGTGAAGTTATGGAGACTGGTCTCCACCATGTCTGCTTAGAGACCTCCTGATGAAAATTCTGGGACAGTTTTATTGCCTTGCAGTGGTAGAATTTTTTCTAGAGGAAAGCTTCAACAGTAGAGATGTGAATGCTTGCCTTTTAACCTTATCAAATCATGACTGAAATCCACATGACTTGGTAATTCATGAAATTTCTGTGTGACTAAGCAATTTGAATAAGCAATTAGTTGAACTTAAGGTAAGGGTGGGGTAAAATGATTCACACTTTTTAAGTCAATTATTTAAAAATACGTATAATTTTTGCTTAGAAAAAGGGAACCCTTTTATTTTCCAAAATGTCATTCTTGACAGCATGTGAAGTAGTTTTGCAAACTCCATCACATGTACACACACACTCAGTGCTGTGAGCTTAACAACAGTTTGTCTTACAAAAATTGGTTGGTGATGTTATGTTGTGAAAAGCTCGCCTGTGTATTAAAAGCAACGGAGCAGTCCAGTCTAGTTTTAACTGTAGTCAGTTGGCAACCTGGATCAAGCTCTCTTGCTCTGTCTCCCTAGTTGCCTGATTTTTTTAAATATGCTAGTTTATTTAACTGCTGTTCTTGTTAATTTCTGTTTCAATGTAATAACTGCTGCAGGATACTTCTAAGCACTCTGTCTGCATTCTCACCTGAGGTTAAATCTATCTTGTCTCTGAATTTTACTGATGCAAATTAAGGGTCTGTGAAATATTCCTTGGGGTGGGGTGGGTTCTTCCATCTGTTAAGCACAATTTCCATGAAAGCAAAATTTCAGTTTTATCTCCAGACAGTATGGGTAGGGCTGGCTGAAAGAATAGGGACAGATTAGAATACAACCGGTTTCTTTCTTCTCTCTCTAAAGGGTGTCACCCAAGTGTCTTGCTTTTTCTGACTCTGGGCCAGAAGATGTCCTGAGAACCAGCTCTTTCTTGGCTGCAGCTATATTTATGTTTTGTTGCTCTTGTTCGAACAGGGAAAGGCAATTACTGGACTCTGGATCCAAATTGTGAGAAGATGTTTGACAACGGAAACTTTCGGCGGAAGAGGAAGAAGAAGTCAGACTGCACTGCCAGCACAGGGCCTCTCGCTTCTGATAAATCGGAGGACAGCGCCTTAGGCGGTAGCCCGAAAGCGGCAGAACACCCAGACAGGTTAGAGGCCACCTCGTCCGGAACTGACAGCTCACCGGAGAAGAGATCTCCACCGCCGTCCTCCTCCACCACTCCTTGCTTCAACAATTTCCTGTCCAGTATGACAGCTTACATGAATGGCTCCAATTCAGTCAACCGCTCAGTGCCTTTGGGACTTAGCACTGACGCTGGTGACAAAATGGGACAGAATATGGTAGGCTTCAATTCATACTCCCCCCTTTCCAACATCCCTAACCACAGTAGCGGAGAATGGCCCAACGCCATGCCCTCTAGTCATCTTGGCTATACTGGTTCAGTCCTCAACCAGTTCAATACCAGTTTCTACAACAGCCTTGCTTCAAACAATACTCTGTACGCAAGAGAGGGCACTGAAGTGTAAGTAAAGGGAGATCTTGGAACAAGCAGAGGAAGTGTAAGGTTAGAGAGAGAGAGAGAGAGAGAGAGAGAGAGAGAATGCTTTGGAGAAAGGTGCTTCATGTTAGTTCCATACGGCCTATCCATCAGTTTTTGTTAAGCAAACCAAATGTTCTTTGTCAGTATATCTTTCCAAGCGGCTTCAAACTGCACCAAGTAGTTGTAACTTCCAGAAGACATCTGCTTGTTTTAGGCTTTGTTTTGGGGTGGACAATAGCAATTGTGAAGCACAGTTCAGTCTTTCAAGTCTATAGTTTATTTTATTGGTCTAAACGTTACTTTTTTTTCAATAGCAACAATGTAAGTGAAACATTTGCTCATTTTTGAAAACCTGAGCCTTAACAGATTTACCCCTTTCCCGTTCAAAATGCAACACCGTAAAGTATAAACAAGGGGAAGCTTTTTCTTTCAAGGACTACACTACTGAGCTGTATGCACATCTGACCATAAGGGGCAAAAGAAGAGCAAAAAAAGAGGGCCCAGTCTGTTTTTCTGTTCCTGATAAGCAACTTTCTGAGGGGAGGGGGCTAATCACTTTTGCCGTTGGTCTGAATGGAACCTTTTCAGGTGTCTCTTGAAATGAGGCTGGGAGGTACACCCTCCTGGCCCAACGTTCATACACAATCCTATCTATGTTTACTCAGAAGTAAGTAACACTTATATCAATGAGGGCTGCTCTCCAGTGGGAATGTATAGGATTGTAGCCTGAAACACTAACTCTGCAACGTAACCAAGGGAACCAGGACGTATTACAACTAAACACTGTTTATTGATATTTTTATTTTATTCTGTGTGTTTTGGTTAAGATTATGGAGGGAGTCATGCAGGGGAGTATTTTTAATAAAATATTTGTATGCAAATACGTGTGTGCCCATTTGAGTATTGTATTGGATGTTCCCAATGAGTGTCAAATAAGAAGGAAAAACAATTTCACAGGTGGTCTATCTTGTTCTTTTCTGCTATATTAAAAACAGCAACACAGCATTGTCTTTCAACGGGTGGGACACCAGAATGTTCCTATGCCTAATCTTTTATTTCAGTCTTTGTAAATAAGACACTTTGATCTCAAAAGACTGAAGTGGGACACAAGTGGCTGTGCTACATAGTGACTGCAACCCATCCCCGATAGGAAAAGGCCTTTTTGTGTTCAAAAAGAATAACAAACGACCTCACTGTTAAAAAAAGAAAGTGCCTAGGTGGGAACCTTTCCATTAATTTCCAGTGGAATTGTGTCTAATTCTTTTATTGATACTAATGGAATTTGGCTGTAACATACCCAGTGCTTTTTCCAGACCTTTGGGTAGTGTGGGCAGCATATAAGTTAAATAAAGTGCAATAGCACATCCTCTCTCTCTATACATCATTAGAGGAATGAGTAGGTCTACCACTGTTATTTTTAAATTATATTATTTTCTAAGTTGCCTTTGTCATTGTGAGAAGCTTCCTGACCCTTTTTAAAAAATAAAATAAAATAAAATCAGGACTCAGTCAGGCAGCAGCATGGACCCTGAGGTGCAATGGTGTCTTAAAATTCTTGTGACTCCAACATGGAAAGATCCAGAAATAACTGAATGTGTCCTACAACAGAAGAAGGTGGCCCCATCTTTCCCCTCACACTTCAGTGTTTCAGACATGAGAACTCTCTGCTCACAATTCTTCTATCTTACTTCAGCAAAACTCTATTTCAGGCAATTGTGGGGCAGAATGTGGCATCTGCCTCACTCCCACAAACCTCTTCTGTGCTGCCATTATGATCTATGGGGTTTTGGGGGTGTGTGTCCTTGAACAATGCATCCTGACCTGGTGTTATTAACCTGAAAAAAGAGATGGGGGGGCATATCAGCTAAGAAGTCTCTTATTTATTCATATCGTTGTTGTCTTAGAACTGCAGGGCCTAACAGTATCTCAAATACTTTGTGCAAAGGGAGAAAGTGTAGCACTGAGGAGGTGCACCCTTTGCTCTCTGAGTGCAGGAACTGATCTTGCCACACTATCGAAATTATACTAGTCGCAAAGCAAGGAAGAAGCCAGGCTAGCTGTTCTCCAAGCCTCAGGGTGCCTCTAGCCCCACCTTGGTTATTCATGTGTTAACTGAGGACATCAGAGGAAAGAAGGCCAATGTACACAAACCTCTGTGTATATAAACTTCCCTGGACCTCAGGAAGCACAAGGCTGCCAGGTCTCACAGCTTTGGGTGGAGCCTCAGTAAATTGCTGTGCTTCTCTTGGTCCCCAGGTGGAGAGAAAAATCTCAGGCCAAGTGATGCTGGAGGAAGAGAGTTTGGTTTTTTTCTTTCTGTGTGAAAAAAGCCTGGATTCCTTCGGCACCCATTTCTAAAAGATGGCATCCCCTCTAGGCAGAAAGCAAGCTTTTCACAGCTTAAGGCCTGGAAAAGCTCCATTTTTGTACCATAGAAAAGGCAGCACAGAATAGGGACCATGGTCAGGATGGTAGCAGAAGCTGCAACTGCTGGGGGCTTTTTACTACTTGTCCGGCTACTGGGAAATAGTGTTGCTTTTCCCCCTGGGTCTGAATTGCCAATATTATCTGAATACCTGAGTTTTACCTAGATTATGCACCCATTTACCACTATTCCCCTCATGCCCATTGATAGAGACACAGACAGACAGACACAGACACAGACACACACAGACACACACACCTATGGCTATTGAGGCCAGTGAGAAGCATAAGGAAGATGGAGGGGGGAAATAATGAGGTCCTGTAGAGCTGCACTGAGTTCCGACTGAGGTCCACTTGGCACACAAAATGGTAGAACAGGTTTAGAGCCAGCCATAAAACGGAGGAGATGGCGGGAGAATGTGTTGTCATAAGCTATAGGTTAGGTATCAACAGAAAATGAAACAGCAACTTATAGCTAAGTTCTTTGCCATCTATCACAGGGAGTTTCACCTTTAGCTTTTCTCAGGTTACATTAGCTCTGGAAATATTATATGACTCCAGCTCTGATTCTGAGAGGATTTTCATTTCCTGTTATCACACATCTTACTTCTCTATCTTCATCATAATTATATTTCTAGAAGAACTCGCAAGCTGCTTGCTTGTTCCTTTGCCATTAGATAGAACTCTGCAGTCTGGAAGCTTCTCTGTATTGCCATGACTAGTATTAAGTTCTAGCAAATATGAACCATTTTGTCCTTTAAGACAGTGCCAAACAAAGTTTTCACAGCAGTTACATTCCTGACCTTTCCAAGCCCAACATTCAAAGAGATCTTCAACAAACAAGACATCTCTGTCAGATTGCAGTTTAAAGATGCAATGGTAGAGACAAAAATAATTTCCATCTCCCTTCACTGTGGCATATGAGGTATAACTAAGAGTTCTCACTAGAATTTTCGTACCTTGTGACTTACACCTTCAGTGGCCTGGCTATCACCTGGGCAGCAGATAAGCTGGGAGATATCAAATATTTTTATGTCTTTACATCTTTATTCCTGTAAAGTGGGTCACTGTAATTTCCACTTTAAAGATATAGCATAAATTGAAGAAAGGTGTGATTTGATGAATGCCACAGAAGTAGTCTTTAGTGGAAATAGAATTTTAGCTCATGTCTTCCAGCCCACATCAGAGTTTCCATCTACTTGCCAAATCTCTCTCTCTCTCCCCAAATCTCGCAAGTTTACAAAAATGAGCTATTTGCTCAAGGGCTTCATAGCAAACATACCAGTCCTTTGTGAAGTATGAACCAAGATTTGGCCGAGCCCAGCCCCAAAAAGTTTAAAGAGTTTTGCTGCTTATTCAGAACTGCTTCGCTGCTGACCCAGAGGGTGAAATGGCTTGCATATCATGATCATCCTTCCTTACCATCCTATTTCCTCATACAGTTGTTGGTACAGGCACCAAGCACTGAACGTCTGCTTGTCCTTTCATGTTTCTTCCTTAGATGAGCAAGTAAATAAGATATTGCAGAAGGAATTGTTTTGTCAAAGCGGGTTGGTAGTGGAAAAATATATTTCCTTTCATTATGGGCAAAGAATAAATCAACATACGTTCTTCTAGCCACTCAGGGAGGTGCAAGAATCTAGCAGGATGCACCCTCGTGTAAACTCTCATGAAATACTTTGATGCTCTAGGACTAATAATTCCTGTGCTAGCAGATGTTTGGGAGCTGAACAAATTTCATTTGACTTAGGTATCCTGCACAGTTATCTTTTGAATATTCAGCTGATATCTAACTCTAGTACACCTAAGTGAATGTTTACATTAACAACAGTACTATTACACTATCAAGTATTTTCTGACTTACAGTGACTCTTGCCAGGGTTTCCTAGGTATACCATTACTCAAAAATAGTTTACCAGTCCATTCTACTGGTGTTGCTCTCAGACTGTGCACCTTGCCCAAGGCATGGGCTGGTTGTTCTCCTCAGAGGCAGCTTGCCAGGGTTTCCTAGGTATACCATTACACAAAAATTGTTTACCAGTCCATTCTTCTGGTGTTGCTCTCAGACTGTGCAGCTTGCCCAAGGCTTCATGGGCTGGTTGTTCTCCTCAGAGGCACAGTGGGGAATCAAACTCCTGATGCCTCTACTCCAACTTGCTGAGCTATGTTTAGACTTATGTATACAGTGCAAGCAGGAACAAAGATTCCTTCTGCTCCGCAGTGAATGAAACCAGAAAAATACACCTCATTATCCTCCCACATGTCTAGTCAGCCTTCAGATTTGGACCTTCACCAAATTAAAGGTCACTGAGCAAAGTGTAATCCTGTACACAGGGAATAAGTTTAACATATAAAGATATACATTACTAAGGAGAAAACAGGTGTATGCAGTGCTGAGGAATTAAAGGGAATGGCATATTAAATCAGTGGTTCTCAAAGTGGGGTCCACATATTGTACATTCTTGGACTACAGTTTCCAGAAGCCTTAACCGCTTGCTGTGCTGGCCAAGGGAGTTGCAGTCCAAGAACATTTTGAGACCCCAGTTTGAGAACCACTGTTTTAGATTGGTAACAGTGAGTGTAAGATCATACACCTGGCTCAAAGGGTGTGTGTGTTTCCTATATCTTTAATAGCAAATCTCCAGGGAGAAGGTTAACAAGTGCCACATCAGACATGACATGATTGTGCTGGAATGAAAGTAATATCTATACTTCTCCCTGCAGTATTCAAAAGAAAGACACAAAAGCTTCCTTTATGTGAACAATTCACTAACTTGGAGGCAGTAAATCAGCTTTCACTAAGCAGTCAGCAAGAAATAATGTAATTCAGTGGTAGAGGAAATGCTTTACATATGGAAGGGTCCAATTGTTCCCAATTGTGGGTCCCAGATGTTCTTTGACTAAACTTCCCAGAAGCCTTCACCGCTAGCTGGGCTGGCCAGGATTTCTGGGAGTTACAGTCTAAGAACATCTGAAGACCCCAGGTTGGGAAGCACTGCCCTAGAGGATCTGTACCAGCAAGATGCAGAACTGGAGAAAGTAGGCTTAATTAGCTGTTAATGAGTTCTTTCCAATAAAGATACTGAATTCACAAAAGAACTTATGTATTAACCCCTTTCTGCTAAATTTCCCATCTCTGGAAATACTCCTGCTGGAGAACCATTGAGATCAAGAGTGGGCATATAAGGCCAACACTAGCCGAATCTTACAGCCTTATAGTAAGAAAGAGCTTCAGTGGTCTAAAAGTATAATACGGTTTGGGAACTTTGTGTATGTGGGTTTGTTTGTTTTTTGCCTCCTTAGCCTGTTTTATGCTTCTAAACAAACCTTGAACTTGCCAATCTGGGGGAGTAAGTACAATATTATGGTCTAAATTGTGTATGACTACCTCTTACATTTGTCCCGCCCCCATTATGATAGCTT